CATTCAAAAGTAGTCTAATTAACCGGTGATGACAAGTATTACTGTATGAAAGTAATGTTTTCAAGTGATCTTTATTTCAAAACTAGCGTTAAATCACAATTGTATGACAAACCAAAAATTGGTTATAGATAAAATCAAACAACTTTGAGATAATAATTAAATTTAATATCAAAGTCTGATTACCGGTAATTGTATTATCACTAAATCTAATGGTTTAACAATTTCTGAATTAAATAAAAATAAAAACAATGTCTAAAAGTGTGATTGAGATTTAATTATATAATAATTTAATTAATAAATTACTCGTAATTTCTACTAGAATTTCATATAACAAGAGATTTAGAGAGAGATTTCATGGGGTGGGAGTGGAAGGGGTGAGGTATTCATGATTGACAAGTCTGCACCCCTGGACCACTTGTGCCACTTCATTGGTGAAGTGACACGAAAATAGTAACATATTTCTTGGCTTCACTCGTATCGCAAATCTCATGAACAGCAGGGAATATACGCAAAGAGCTATATATGGGATCAAATGGACCACAATTACTGTCAATCATATACACCATTAGTATTGCTAATCAAACCGATTGTTGGCTTCACTCGTATCGCAAATCTCATGAACAGCAGGGAATATACGCAAAGAGCTATATATGGGATCAAATGGACCACAATTACTGTCAATCATATACACCATTAGTATTGCTAATCAAACCGATTGTCATTTTGCCGCTAATAAAAGACGGATCTTTCTTGATGTCCGCGATGGCCGCGATAGGTATCCCCCAATTGGCCACTGATTCCAGTCCATGGATTAGATAACAAGCAATTAGTCATCAGCAATGGTCACTCATATGACAGGTAACATACCGGGGCCCCAGAAATGCTATTTCCATTGAATACAGATATAAATAAATGAATTCATGTGATGAAAGCATTGATCATATGTTTAAGACTTACAGTACTGTCCGATGAGAAGACAATTGCGGCGAATGAAGGCATAGGAAGAGAAAGACAGTATGGGATGAGTGGTCAGTCATATGAAGACATGAGTGAAGACATGAATGAAGACATGAGTGAAGACATGAGTGAATGCATGTCCTCCTCAGTCATACCATACCATACCATACCTGCATAGATATGAACGAAACTCTTTGCTTTTGAGCGATTGAATGGCTTTCGTAAGCAATTGTCCCGACATTTCACACAAACTTATATTAATTGTGATTTCAATTCACTTCACAATCAGTTCACAAACCAATATATATTTCCTTAATTATGGTCACAAATAACGGCACTATTATTGCCATCAAATATCCCCCTTTTGGTTGGAAAGCATTGGTTTGAAGTGAACACCAACTGCTTGTGAGTAACGTATTGTGTGTTTGAGATAAGCATTTGTGAAGCGGTTTGCAGTTGTGGTGAGAATCACATCATCTGATAGTTTGTCCTTCAATTCAATGATTACTATTAATACGGATTTGAATGATACAAATGGACAGATAATAGACAGATATTATACGGAATATAATACATATGTTATATATTATTGAGAATCACATCATCTGATAGTTTGTCCTTCAATTCAATGATTACTATTAATACGGATTTGAATGATACAAATGGACAGATAATAGACAGATATTATACGGAATATAATACATATGTTATATATTATGAGATGGTGTCACTCGATTGTCATCACATAATAGGGAACCTCCTGTGAACTCTCACTAGACTAAGGAATAAATGAAAAGTAAAGAACTTGGTGACAAAACTTAGTTTAATTGTTCACAACTTTTTTAATGACTTCAAAAACACTTTACAAAACACATTACATAATGTATAAGATATAAGTAATATTAGAAATAAGTCGGACATAAACTTATAGCAACTTATAAGGCATAGAATAACATGAATAAGTGGACTTGGTACTGTAGTACTGTATAATACTGGTATACGATATATGGTAACTTTGGTTAGAGTTAACATGTTATTTAATATTCAATAATACTTAATTAAATTGCGTTAAATTGTTGAGTTAGTACTGAATCAAGACTTTGACCACTCCTTCGGCACCACTTCTCAATAGATTGAACGCTTCGATCGCTTCTTCGATTTGAAACTTATATTCAATAATACTTAATTAAATTGCGTTAAATTGTTGAGTTAGTACTGAATCAAGACTTTGACCACTCCTTCGGCACCACTTCTCAATAGATTGAACGCTTCGATCGCTTCTTCGATTTGAAACTTATGTGTTATCAATGGCTTAACATTGAGTTTACCACTTGATATCAATTGTATCGCCAATTCATAGCTATCGATAGATTAAGCAAATTAGTAATGTAGACAAAATTCACTGAATGTCTAAACTGACTCGTCTTTGATACGACAGACACCAATCAAATCCACTTCCCTCATGGCTGCAGAACTTAATGGTATACGTGAATCAGCCCCCAATCCAACGATCCCGNCAATTACGAAGACTCCGTCGGCGCCCAACTCTTTGATTCGGGGATTCATAAAGTTATTTATTATTAATACAAAAAATTATTTACAAAATTAAGACAATCAGACTCTCAGCCAATGAAATACCAAACATACACTTACCAGACGCCAGTTTTAGACGACTTTCATTGATGTCTGTGAGGAATACTTTTGTTGCCCCGAATGCTTTGGCGCACAAAGCACTCATAATTCCGACTGGTCCCGCACCACAGATCAGCACCTGATGGCCCACATGTACGTCCACTCGACGGCAAGCGTGTACCACAACTGCCAGAGCTTCTACCAGTGCTCCCTCTTCGTAGGATACGTTATCCGGAAGTCTAAAGCAATTTAGTATTCATTTATATAAAGTCAGTTCAATACAATGTATTCACATTTGAATTATGGTATTTGAATATTTAGATTTAGATCTTTATGCAGAATTTTGGTGTTAATGCATTTTTAGATAATTAATCTATAAATAACTCTAATATCTGTTTAATGGGTTTTTAAATTGAAACTAGAATTGTTTTTAAAAAGATGTTACTTCAAAATATACATTGAATTTCGATGAAATATAGTATCATATTTGCAATAAATGATTTGATTCAAATTATATTAAACCCAATATTAACACCACACCTATTGGATTGAATGTAAATTAGACAATATTGTTTGTTATTAATATGTATTTTTATTTTTTTAAATCTATTACAACCTATCCCAAAATATAAACACAAACAATTATATTAATTAATTTTAGATTTATATTTTCCTAATTATAATTCATTTCATTCTAAGATTTTATTCAAATATAATATATCCACACCCATTCAGCAAATTAAATCAAAAATATCAAAATCAATTATGTTACTGTATTCAAAAATATAAACATTACAATATAAACCGTTTTCAATTTAATTGTATCAATTTTATTTAAGTAATTAGTGCATCGAATAGAGCTAAAAAACTAACAAATAATGCATTTTAAATTTTTTAAATATCTTGCTATATAACATTTATAGGGCATTTTAAAGTTCCATTATTTATTGTTAATTTACAAATATTTGTAAATATATTTGTAAATGTACAATAAATAATGGAATTTTGAAATGACCTAGAATAGTTATATAGGGAGATATTTTAAAAATTTAAAATGCACAATTTGTTAGTTTATTTAGCTCTATTTGATGCACTAATTAGATATTTTACAAGTCCATTTATAAAAATAATAATAAAAACACCCTTTCCTCCCGGTGCCCCAAATCCACAGAATATTTTTCACTTTATGGATCGATAGAGAATTTAATCCTGCACATTTTCCACCAAACAACTTTTCTCTATCACTAATAGTCCTAATTCTATCATTGTTTAAAAATCAATTATTTGAAGCTACCCGCCCTCCCTGTCCTGTTGGTATTGATATATAGATCAAATAAATTTTAATGTATTTCCTAATTATTAATTCTCTTTCAAATGGCGTATCGTTGGCAGAGATAAGCCTGATAGTTTTTGAGTTATAGCACATTTTACAAAAACTACCTGTGTTATGATACCGGTGCTCACATAAAATTATAACTTAGGCAGGCTATAAAGACTTAAAAACCATGTTTCTCATATTTATATTTTTTATTTAAATTATCTGGTTGAAAAATAAATGAACTTTTACTGATTATATTCTACCTATGAAAACTTTTGCATACCCCTAATATTTGAAATGAATCAATAATGTATCTAATCATGTACAATTAGTTAGTTTGAATTTAAATAAAAATTAAATTATTATTTCAAACTTGTAATGAGTGTGTTAGGAAACAAAATGATCAGTGAGAAATATAGAATTTCATTAAAAACTGTCACTTACTTATAGCAAAAGTCGGCTCTGTGTGCATAAAATCTGCGAAGACATCCATCAGCGGGCGGTAAGCCATGGGACTGTTGGTTAGAGAGCGGACATAAGTTGTATCGACCGCTGCGACAGAACTCGCACTGCAGACATGGAAGTGCCGGCTCTACAGCCACTCTATCCCCTGGTTTCAGGTTATCCACATCCTTGCCAACGGCAACTACCAGTGCTGATGGTTCGTGTCCTAACACATATGGCTTTCTAACCACAAAATCGGCGACAAATCCTTTTCAGATAAATATTCAAACAAAGAGTAATTATTTATTTATAAATTTAGGTATTTATTCAGATATTTATATACCTTTTTTCCATAGTGTAATATCTGTGCCACAAATACCACAACTTTAAGTTCCAGACAATATAAAAACTTATTAATTAATTTCAAGATAAAGTTAAGATAAAGTGTAACACTTGAAGGAATAAAAATAAATTTTTGTTTAAATAATGAACGGGAAGTCATACACACCTATGCGCCTGAAGTAAACATTCTGTTTAATAAAGCAAACAAATGGGTATTTATGGATATTTAAAGATCCAGGATATTTAAAGATATTTATGGATATAAAGGATGTTTTACCATTTGGTTCGAGTTTGTCTTGAATGGGCCACTGCTGTAGTCGTAGATCTTCTTTCTCGTGAAGAACTAGAGCCAAATTGTCGATATTCTGAGGGTTTGTCAGACAATCCATAATTTTGTTCACAATTCTTTATGAAGTGAAATATGTATTTAGCAAAGAATTGAAGCAAGAATTGCTACGATATTATCGCAACTGTTTGAACAGATCTCAACTTTTAAATGTTAGAACCTTTCGACTCCAACGCTATATAAATACTATAATTCAGGGTATTTGCGGATTCTTTATCCCTGAATTCAACACAGAATTTGTAAACTTTCTTACCAACAGCTATATATTATATGATATAAGTAGTGTTGTGCACAGAATTGAATTAACTGTTGCAATGCATTACATCAGTATTGAGTCAGAAAATCATATTAGGCTAACATATACGGAAAGGGAATTCTAACTGATTCCCAGAATGCTATTTAAGGCAATAGTGTTTACGAATTACATCACCAACCATAATATTCAAATCAAATATTCTTTCTAAATGATATTTGATTTTTAGATTTAATTTAAATTAAATTGTAATTAAAAATGATAAATTATGCACAAATAAACATTGCTTCACTCTAATAGTCAATTTTAAAAATATTTTTAAGTACCCATATTTTAAACAACATAATATTCCTAGATCACTTTTGACACTACTTCACTCATTGAATATTTATAATCTGTAAGTTATGCTATTTTTGTTTATAATAATTATTATAGCAAAATATCAATGTGCACAAAAATATTATTTATACCATTTATAGACACTCTACAAAAAAAACTAAACCAAATAGGGATAACTAAAACTTAAAGGAATTTAGCTCTTATTTCATTTCCCTGATAATTTAATTATTCATTTGAAGTCAAATCCTTATAACAATAGATTAAAAAGGTCTTACAGTTTAATGGGCAGTATTTTATAAAAATCTTTTAAATTCAACATTAAGTAATAAATAATAGTATTTTTATATATAAATCACATTATAATATAATATACGAAATAAGTCACTGTATTGAATGGCTGATATTTGATTTTTAGATTTAATTTAAATTAAATTGTAATTAAAAATGATAAATTATGCACAAATAAACATTGCTTCACTCTAATAGTCAATTTTAAAAATATTTTTAAGTACCCATATTTTAAACAGCATAATATTCCTAGATCACTTTTGACAATTTGACACTACTTCACTCATTGAATATTTATAATCTGTAAGTTATGCTATTTTTGTTTATAATAATTATTATAGCAAAATATAAATGTGCACAAAAATATGATTTATACCATTTATAGACACTCTACAAAAAACTAAACCAAATAGGGATAAATAAAACTTAAAGGAATTTAGCTCTTATTTCATTTCCCTGATAACTTAATTATTCATTTGAAGTCAAATCCTTATAACAATAGATCAAAAAAGTTTTACAGTTTAATGGGCAGTATTTTATAAAAATCTTTTAAATTCAACATTAAGTAATAAATAATAGTATTTTTATATATAAATCACATTATAATATAATATACGAAATAAGTCACTGTATTGAATGGCATTTATGAAATCATTTAGTCAGTTGCTTATGATTTTGGTCAAAATCGTAGACCTTATCGTTGGTGAGACCACTTTTCTTAAACAAACGACTAAACATTTTGAGGTATTCTTTGTATTTGGGTTCGGCGTCGAAGTCCAGTTCTCGCACTTCCTTCAGATATTTACAGAACTCTTGTGGCAAATCAGCGCACAAGACCTCAGGACTGGTCTTCTTCTTCTTCTCGCCAATCATTCTATACTTCTCTACACGATTTTTCTCCTGTATGCCCATCCATGGCAACTCGCCTTTCAGGAGGAATACCCACATATAGCCCAATGCCTCCATATCATCGCGACGGGACTGTTCGATACCCCTGTGGTTATTGAGTGACATATAGCGCACGGTTCCGATCACACCTTTTCCCCTCACAATTGGGATGTGTTTTCCCTCGTCGTCCAAATACTCCTTACAGAGACCTAAATCTGTGATGTGGACCACCATATAGTTCTTAGTACCCGACCGTCCGAACAGGAAATTGTCTGGTTTTGTATCCCTATATAAGAGTCCTTTTCCGTGAAAATACTCAAAGAGTTCCAGCATTTGGTTCACGAGATAAATGGTTGTCTTGAGACTGAATTTAAGGCCGCATTCCTTGTGTACGTTCTCAATGGAGGGCCCAAACAGATCCATAACCAGTGCGTGATATGTACCGCACGGTCCGAACGTAAAGATAGTTGGAATTCCTCTTTGAGGTGCCGTTCCCTCGGCCTTCAGTTTCCTATAGAACGCAAATTCTAATACCAGTTGCGGTTGGTCTACATCCTGGGGCTCCAGTTTGATGGCCACCTCTTCGTTAGTCTTGATGTTCTTTCCTCTGTATATCTTCCCAAACGATCCTAAGAGGACAACCATTCAGAACATATAGACTAAGAGTCACCCCTCCCTTCCTACTCACCTTTGGCTATATAAGTGGTGACAATGAATTTGTTGCCCACTTTAAAGCCTTCGGGATTATCTTCAGATCTGTCCGCCATTTGATTGAATCACTCGAAGAATACAAATTGATTACAAATTTAACAAAAATTAAACTCATTTATAAATTGGCATTAAATTTGAATTATAGGGCATTTGGCTAATCTCGTGATACAACAAATCCCTATTTGTATGAAAATGAGACACATTTTTAATTGTTAAAAACTTTGTAAATAGGATTTGATTTGTACTCATCATTTAATAGTAAAATATTTTTTACTAAATTCTCACTTTGAGAATAATAAATATATTTCAATTTTAAACATGTTTTGATTAACTATTTTCAAAAATTTATAGTACCGTATTATATTTAAAGTTTTAAACCAAATTTGTGAATAAGTATTAAATAAATGTGAGTTAATTGAAATATTTATCAATAAGTCATTGCTGTATTGCATTACATGTAAAATTCTTACGAAATGACAATTTGACAATTTTGTTAACTCATTGTCAAGACATTCTTCAGACATTGTTTACTCAGATTATATATTAACAGATTAACAGTAGTACTCAATATAATTATGTCGACGGAAGTGGTAATGATGTGTACATTTCTAATCATACAAATAAAAAGTAATTATAATCTTAGAGTATAATGAATGAGATTCACACCATTGCTGACAATTGGAAGAGACATAGAAATCGGATCATGAATTCAAAGTTAAATGAGAAGCGAAAGCATGAATTGGAGAAAATTAGTCGTGAAGTGGAAATGGAGGACCACATCATGTCAGTGTCCAAACTATGCGCGACCCTCAACACCAATTTGGATACAGTATGTCAATTACAGTACAGTATTGCTAACTTGAACACATGTATGCATTTCATAACTGCACTAAATAAATTTTATATTTATTTTTATGTCAACATAATTCACATAATTAAAGGGCTTGAGTCCAGTGGCAGCCAAACAAATACTTTCAACTAATGGCCCAAATATTGTGACAACAAATATAGCGACGGGAGAGTGGATCAGATTTATTAAGAACTTATTCGATTGGTTCAATAGTTTCTTATGGGTCGGTTCGCTCCTGTGTTTTATAACTTATATAACAGAAACATATGAGAGTTCAGTGGACGCCCATCCCGACGATGTGAGCGCTATTTCATTCAAATTTCTAATTATTCTGTAATTATTGTGTAATTATTGTGTAATTCTCTCATTTTTCTAATTAATCATTCATTAGCTGTACTTAGGCTGTGCTCTGGCGGGTGCTGTTACGATATCAGGGTGCTTTAGTTATTATCAGGAGGCCAAGAGTGCAAACATTTTTATAACATTTCGAGATTTAATACCCCGATATGTGACAGTGATTAGGGCGGGCTCTAAGTTGAGGTGTCACGTCAATGAAATAGTGGTCGGGGATCTCATTGAGATACAGGCCGGGGATAGAGTTCCCGCAGACATTAGGATAACAGAATCTCATGGATTAAAGTGTGTCAACCCGTTATTGACGGGAAATAATGAGCCATTCTTGCGGTCAAATGAGTGCACGAATACCAATCCTTTTCTAACAAAAAATCTCATTTTCTTCTCAACTAATTGTGTCGAAGGTTTGCATTTTAAATGAGTTTTTTCCAAATCATACCATTATTAAGATTTCTCAGGTACTGCTCAGGGAATTGTCATCAAAACTGGCGATCATACATTAATGTCTCATTTGTTGGCCAACTATTATCAAACAAAATCCACTAAAAAATCATCCGAGAGTTTGCTTAACAAAGATATTACATTTTTTATCCGCATAATAACTGCCGTTTCCCTATTTATCGGCGTAATTCTGTCGAGTAAAACGTTATGAAATTTTATGTCTATGAAACATTCAATGAATTATTTTTCATTTAGTCCTATCGTACACTATTGGCTATTCATGGCTTAACGCCATTATATTTATGATCGCTTTATTTGTGGCACAAATACCGGAGGGTTTATTCCCAACACTATCTGTAGTCTTGAGTTTGGCTGCAAAAAGGATGGCTTCAAAGAACTGTTTGGTTACTAATTATGAAACTGTGGAGACATTAGGCCTCACTTCAACGATAATCACTAATAAGGTAAGAAATAATTTATTATAGACATTATTACAAAACCAAAGCAATTGGATTTAAATCTCTGGAAACAAAACAGTCTCTAAACTCGTATATATTGTACAAAACAAAAATACAAAATAAATCGTGAAATTCATTAATTAATTGTGCGATTCCATGAAGACGGGAACTTTAACCCAGAATCGTATGATTGTATCACACATTTGGGCCAATAATTCTGTAATCAATTCGGAAAACTTCTACAGACATTCAGATGGTATTTAAGTTTTCATATTATACAATCAAATCATATTTGATAACAGTTAGCACTTATAGGCTACAAAGCGGATTTGGATTCGCCGGCGTGGAGGGCACTCATCAGAATTGCTTGTCTTTGCAATAAGGCTGAGTTCAGTGCAGCTCAGGCTAGCCTTCCACCTCTAAAAAGGTCTGTATTATTGAATTGAACATTTTGGTAACAAATTTGTTTTGTTTAAATCAGAGAAGCAATTGGCAATTCAACGGATGTGGCATTACTTAAATATATGGAAATAATAATCGGTTGTGTAGAGAGTTATCGTCTAAAATATCCCAAAATTTTTGAGATTCTTTTTAATTCTAATGTAAGACATTCGCTAACTATAAACAAATTTAGTGGAGGTTTTTGGTTATGTATGAAAGGAGCGCCTGAAGTGATATTTGACAGGTGCTCCACAATTCTAGTTATGGGCAAAATTAGACCATTTGATCACAAATACAAATCATATTTCAAACATATTCTTGAAGAATTTGGCAGTTTTGGAGAGCGTGTTATTGGTTTGTTATTCTCAATATGTCAACATTTAATAAGACATAAAATTTTCTTTTTATAGCATTTTGTGATACATATCTTCCATATAATGAATATCCAACGGATTATACTTTTGACTACGAATTAGAGAATTATCCGACAAAAGACTTGAGATTTGTTGGTTTAATATCTCTTAATAATCCTCCGCGAGCTTCAGTTCCCGATTCGGTACACAAATGTAGAAGCGCTGGAATCAAGATCATAATGATTACCGGCGATCACCCAATCACTGCCAAAGCTATCGCCACAGCTGTCGGAATTATCCCGGATGACAAACAAACTATGGATGAAAACTATAGATTTGGTGTACGAGATATTCACGAAAAGTATGCAATGATTATAAAATGATAATTTAATTTTGTCAACCATTTGCTAAAAGTAATGAATACCGTATTGTAGCGATGAATTCACATCTCCTGTAATCACTGGAACACAGTTTCAAAGGCTAAGTGATCAGCATTTGAATCATATATTAAGTAGTGATACGAATATAGTGTTCGCCAGAATGACTCCCAACCAAAAGTCAAGTTAAGTAATTTGAGATTTATATTATTAAACGATTTTTATAACGAGCAAATTAATCAGCATTTGAATCATATATTAAGTAGTGATACGAATATAGTGTTCGCCAGAATGACTCCCAACCAAAAGTCAAGTTAAGTAATTTGAGATTTATATTATTAAACGATTTTTATAACGAGCAAATTAAATTAATTGATCAATAAGTTTATGTATGATTTTGTTTAACAGACTGATTAAGTGCTGCAGAAATAAGAAATCTGTGAACGCCGTGACTGGAGGAGACGTGTTTGAAAACGCGGACATCCATATAGCGATGGGAATGACTGGAAGTGATATGAGTAAGCAGAGGGCAGATATCATACTCCTTGACGATGACTTCGCGTCGATTGTGTCGGGAATAGAAGAGGGAAGAGTTATATTTGATAATTTGAAGAAATCCATTTGCTACACATTGTCTTCAAAAACTCCTATTATTTGTCCATTTCTTTTATACCTATTGATAGACATTCCGTTGCCTTTGGGCTCAATAACAATATTATGCATTGATTTGATTACTGATATGATACCTGCCATCTCTTTGGCGTATGAATTCCCAGAATATGATATCATGAAATACAAACCAAGAGATCCTATAATTAATAAGTTAGTTAATAAAAGGTGAGTAATTAAAATGATAAAATAAATTTATTATACGCTAAATATAATTAATTCCTAGACTTTTATTTCTATCATATGCTCAATTGGGAGTCTTTGAACTTTTTGGAGGACTGTTCACTTATTTAGTAATTATGAATGAGAATGGTTTCAATTTAAGTTATTTGTTAGGCATAAGAAAGCTTTGGGATTCTATGGCTATCAATGATTTAATGGATTCATATGGTCAGGAATGGGTATGTGTTCAACTATTATAACACTGTTATGCTAAATAGTAAATTAAATGTATTATTTATAAAAATTTATAAATATATACCTGTATTAAGTTAGTATTGAGAATTGATTAAAATGTTTGCATTATTAATAGAAAACAACATTTGATTAATGAATGAATTGAATGTTCAAACAGACATATAATAGGCGAAAAGCACTGGAATATACGTGTCATACGGCCTTCTTTGCAGCCGTTGTCATCACTAAATGGTCGGCACTTATCTGCTGTAAAACCCGAAGAATTTCAATAATAAAACAAAAAATGAAGTAATTTTTAAAAATTTTTTGTTCATTACAATAACATTAAATATTGTTTCATGGTATTGTTAACATGGTATTATTTTATTAAACAGGAACGATGTGTTGACTTTCTCGTTATTTTTTGAGTTGGGTTTGGCTGTATTCCTATCCTACTGTCCCGGACTCGACAGAGGCATCAATTTGTATCCATTAAAGTGATGTCATGTTTTAATCATCTAAATATAATATACAATTTTAACATACTAATCTATAGATTGTACTGGTGGTTCTGTTCCATACCTTTCGCTATTTTAATGATTATTTTTGATGAATTAAGAAGATTTCTATTAAGACGGTATCCCAACGGTTGGGTAGAAAATGAAACATTTTATTAATAATCTAAATAATAACACAAAATTGAATGCACCTCTTTACTTTATTTATTTTAGTATTTACAAAATCTGTTTTTCAGTATATAGTGAGAATTTGACAAATCTATTTATAAGTTTTGAATAAATAAGCTGAATATTTAAACAAAATAAAATTTTATTAATTATATTTATTATCAATTTGATCACCTATTGTAGAACCTAGTGATAATTTATAAAGTAGTTAAATACTGTAATAATTAAAATTTATTTAATATAATCAAGAAATTCATTATTTGTAAAACCAAAAGGAATATTCATATGCGAAGAATTACGAATAGTTTTCAAAGTAAGCAAATTGTTTTCATCTAAAGTCCGTAAACCAATTAAATCATTTTGATATAATTCTGTCCGAGAATAAGGTATATAAGAGACTGCCGTTTGGTCCCAATAACCAAATGATGCACTAATTGGTGGCAAAACTGTGGATTCATTCTCAAATGATACCAATACTAAACCCTTTAATTTATTCGACAAATATTTACTATTATTTTGATTTGAATTTTGATTATTAATTTCAGATAAGAAAGTGGTTTTTTGAAATGGATTTGTGGGAGAATTCCAATACGAAGAAAATGATAATACATTTGATAAGCCATATATGAAAACATCGAAAACAGATGGACCCGTCTTGGAGGTGCTGAGGGCTGACTGCAATAGATTGCAACCCATCATAATTATGCGATTGTGAGAATTGAGTTGATTGCAGTCAGGGATGCCAAAGATGCCACTATTAGGTCCTCCAAAAGTGATCAATTTGTCAATTTTGGGCACAACTGTGTCCAGACATGTGTCCCATAGGAGACCCCTCATGAGCAGAGCGCCCTGAGAACAGCCCACTAATTCAATTCGTCCGCAATTGTGTCGCAATCGATGCAATGTATTATTTCTTATGTATTGACATAACTTTTCCAATTGAAAGGACATGGGCTTGAATGAGGACCAGTTGTAGTCATCGACAC